CTAAACCCCAAACCCAAAACCTTTAACCCTAAACGCTAAACCTCGTTAAATTAAACCCTAAACCCTAAACCCTAGCTCTTGGAGATTTAGGGTTGAAGCGCGTCAGATGTACAAGGCTGAGTCTCGGCCGTTGGCAGTACTGTAGGGGCTAAAATAATTACCAATACTATTTTTCGGGCTTCCTTATTGTATTTATAGTATAATGGGCCCCAAACCCCCATTCTAGTTATTAGGGCCGCTACATTAGGGTGCCGCATGTTTTCAGCAGTGTTGAAAGGCTGCCGCAGACCCCAAACCCTAAACCCCAACACCCGAAAGCCCTTAGCCTTAAGCCCCCCCAAACCCTTAAGCCTAAACCCGACAAAGGCCACTACACTTAGCAAAACCGACAGCCCAAACTTAGAAGCTACCCAAAAACCTGAAGGATCGACCCTCTGAAACCAAACAAAGGGGGGGAATCCCGAGCGGGTTAGAAATGCTCTTGTGACACCAGGCTTGCGTCGCCTTGTATAGAAGATGTGATTCAAAGCTCTACGGCCAAAATCCTACACTCTAACCACCTAGCCCTCATAAACTTGGTCTCAGACCCAAAGAGCCCCTACGCTTAGCCTCCCGTAGACCCCGCAACCCGCGAACACCTCCGCTCAGGAGCACCGGCTGACTCAGAAGGATTGGAATGGATCCTGGCCACAGGCCGGTTGTGTGATCCTAAACCCTAAACCCTAAACCCTAAACCCTAAACCCTGAACCCTAAACCCGGGGCAGGGGACCAGGGCCAGCTTGAGGGGTGCAGAAGGCTTGATGAGGGTCTTGTGAGGGGTGTAGGCTTCAAGGGTTTAAGGTTCAGGGTCTAGGATTTAGGGTGTTCAGGGCTGAGCCTCTAAACTCCAAGCTGCCCTAACTGCATAGGCATCAGTACCAGACCTTCCAAAATCCCTTAAACCCTAAACCCTAAACCCTAAACACTAAACCCTAAACCCTACACCCTCCAACATCCCTTAAGATCCCCAGTATGACTTAAGGTACCTTCCTTACCCTAAGCCCTAAACCGTGTATATCCGTGTATAGTATGACTTAGGGTACATTCCCTGCTTAGGGGATCTTGGAAGGCGGCACCTTGAATCCTGAAGTGCGGAGGCCAAAAAGAAAGCCCTACATCAGAGGTGCTTTGCGTTCAGGGGCTTCGGGGTTTGGGTTTACGGTTTAGGGCTCATTGTTTAGGGTTTAGGGTTTAGGGGGTTTGGGTTTAGTTTTAGGGTTTAGGGCTCCTTGCTTAGGGTTTGGGGTTGAGGGTGTTAGGGCTTAGGGGTTTTTTGAAGCCCGAACGAAGAGTCCCGAGCCGTGTCTCCACACCCCATGCCTCGGACGTGCTTGAACATACCGCTCAGTCTTGCTTTATTCCTAATTTCAAGAAGGGGGAACGCTCCTAAACCGAACTTGGGGTTAGGATCACCATTCCCTGGCACCGCGGTTGATGATATAAATCCTGCATTACCTTAAGGACCCTAAATTCTGAAAATTATGGTATATTCCCTGTTACGGGTAAGGCAGGATTTATATCATCAACCGTACTACCCGTCTGGATGAAGAAGCAGCATGCCCTGAATCTCGAAACCTGGTTCACCCAAGGCAGCCCGCTTCTGTGAGCAGCAAGGAATGAGGCTGCCCGAAGCTGGCCTATTTAAACCCTCTACCTCAAGCCCTAAAGCCTATACCCTAAACCCTAAACCCTAAACCCAATACCCTAAACCCTAAACCCTAAACCCTAAACACCTAAACCCCTAAACCCTAACCCTAAACCCCTAAACCCTACTTAGGGTTTGGGGTTTAGACTTTAAGGGTGGAACCTTTGGCCTCTCGGGGTTCACAGCTTAGGAAGGAGAAGGAGGGACGAACTGTTGCTGGCGACTTGTGTAGATTCCCATGATGCAAGAAGAGAGATCCGAGTGACCCTAAACCGTAAAACCCTAAAGCCCTTAACCCTAAACTCTAAACCCAAAACTCTAGACACTGAACTCTAACCCCTAAACCCTAAACCCCAAGCCACTGTTGATTCTTCTACTCCTTACCTTTGACCTTGCGGGCTCGAGGTTTGGATTTTGGAGTTGAGGGTTCAGTGTTTAGGGATTAGGGTAGAGTGTTTAGGGTTTCGGGTTCAGTGTGTAGGGTTTCTGGTTTAGGGTTGAGTGTTTCGGGTTTAGGAAGTCGTCTGAAGTATTGAAAGCCTGAGGATTCCAAGTTTGCTGGTTTACGTGTCAGTCGTCAGGGTTCGCGTTGCTACGTAAATGGTTGATACGTACATCCTACACCCTGAACCTAAACCCTAAGCCTTTGAAGTAGGCCCTGAGCCCTAAACCCTAACTCACAAACCCTTCAGGGAGCAAAAAGCGATCTCCCGTAAAAGCAAAAAGCCTAAACCGCAAACCCTACACCCTCAACCCCAAACCCCAAACCCCTAAACCCTAAAACCTGAATCCTAACCCCTAAACCCCTAAACCCTAAACCCTAAACCCAAAGCCCTAAACCCTAAACCCTAAAACCCTAAAACCCTAAACCCCAAACCAGGATTCAGTTTGGTAGGAGTCGGAGTTGCAACCCGGCAGCCGAAATCCCAAAGCCCCCCGAGCCACCAAATCGAACTCCCTCAAACCCCCAGGCTTTTAGGGTTCAGGGTTTTAGGGTTTCAGGGTTTGAGGGTTTAGGGTTTTAGGGTTAGGGTTTTAGGGTTTTAGGGTTTTAGGGTTTAGGGTTTAGCGTTTAGGCTTTAGGGTTTCAGGGTTTAGGGTTTTAGAGTTTAGGGTTTAGGGTTCAGGGTTTAGGGTTTGAGGGTTTAGGGTTTAGGGTTTAGGGTAGGCTTTAGGGTTTAGGCTTTAGAGTTTCAGGGTTTAGGGTTTAGGGTTTTAGGGTTTGAGGGTTTAGGGTTTTAGGGTTTAGGGTGTAGGGTTTGAGGGTTTAGGGTTTAGGGTTTAGCGTTTAGGCTTTACGGCGTAGGGTGGATAGGGTTTGAATGCTCCTGAAACATTCGTTGCCCTTGCAGCCTAGACCCTGCAGCCCAGGAATGGGGGGAGATTTGCCCAAAGGGCCGCGGTAACATGTCGGTGGTTCCGCAGCTGGGTGACGGGACGGCATCCAGGTTTCAGGGTGCTGATTTAGTTCAAGGCTCGGTAAAGGTTTCCGAGCTTTGGCAACCGGGTTGAAGATTTCTTGCCAAAGTGTGGTGCTGCATTGCCAAACAGAAGGAGTGATTACACGCCTTCTGCTGGAACTGGCCATGATGACAACCGCGCTGATGATGAAGAAGACGATGAAGAATGCTAATCACAGTAATAATTACAAGATCATGGTGATGGTGGTGATGATGATGGCAACGATCTTCATCTTTTATGTTCCTTGCAGCATCATCCCACAGTACCCTCCTCCTCCTCCTCCTCCTCTTCGGCCTCCTCCTCCTCCTCCTCCTCACCACCATCACCATCAGCATCACCATCACCATCAGCATCAGCCTCAGCCTCACCATCACCGTCACCGTCACCATCACCATCGTCATCATCGTCATCATCGTCATCATCGTCATCATCGTCAGCTTCGTCATCAGCGTCATCATCGTCATCACCGTCATCGGCATCGTCATCACCATCGTCATCATCATCATCATCATCATCATCATCATCACCATCATCATCATCATCATCAACATCATCATCATCGTCATCGTCATCGTAATCATCATCATCATCATCATCATCATCGTCATCATCATCATCGTCAGCTGCAAGGTTCTAAACTATAGATAATAATAATGACAGTGTCTATGTTACTCAAAGCAATGATAGTAATCATAGCAACGTTTGTGATAATTATATAGATGTACATGAAGTATACCTCAAGTATACTTGGAAGATCATGCAGAAAGATCGGTAAAGACTTACGTTAAAACAGCGGTGGAACATCTCCGAAGTATAGAAGCAGGTTTTTGTCCAGCTTTCGTTCTGACCGTTGTCGCAGTGGCTAGCTTTGAGTGGTGATAGTCAGGTTGGGTTGGTTCACGGTTTTTGAGCATGTCGGCCTTAGGAAGGAATGGCAATCACCCGAAATCCGAACCCTGACCATGACGCCCATAAATGGGAGTTTCAGACAATTAGGGTACCTTATTTGGGGGCCTTATAATAGGGATCCTATTATTTAGGGTACCATATTAGGGTCACCTATTTTCGGAACTCCCCAAATCCCTGGTCCTCAATCCTGAAAGCTCAACCTAGGCAGGGACATGTGGGCCCCAGTGAAGAACTCTGGCGCCACAAACAAGACCATCCAATGGGCGCAGGCGGGGTTCGGGTTTAATGCAAGGGCCTGAATAATTATAAATACTATTTTCGGGGTTCCTCATTATACTTATAGTATCATGGGCGCCAAAACCCTATTCTAATTACTCAGGCCCCTACAGTAGGGTTTAGGGTTTTGGGTTTAGGATTTTGGGCATGCGTTTCAGGGCCTTTTTCCTTCGAGATGTGTGCTTTGGGGTTTTGTTGCTGTGTTGCTGCGGGCTAGGCTGGTGGGGGTTTTCTAGGCAGCCTTTCCGGCAGCATCCAAGTAGGATGAGAAGCTAGCGTCTAGATTCCAGGATCAGAATCATCCAGTTGATGGACAAGGCTCTGCACATCCGTAGTAGGGTAAAGGCCATAATTCCCAGGGTGTTGGGTACTGAAGCCAATGCAGTACTGTGCGTCTGTGAGAGGTATTTAGTTTCAACTCAGGATGGACTTCAAGTTTTCATTCTTGCGGCTTGTAGCTATTATTCTTCAAACCCTGCAGGAAATCAATGATTACTGTGTACGACTACTATATAGCCTGGTTTCTGGGGGCTCTCTCCAGGATGTGCTGTGGAAACAAGCCTTCGAAAATCCTTACAACCGTAAACCCGCCTAAACCCTAAAGATGCAACCCATAACCCTAAACCGTGGCTCTGCAACCCCATGGCTCTGGGAGGTGGGCCTCCGCATGGACGGTGACATCTGCAAGCTCATCACGGATTTTCCAGGATCTCTTCCGCATCCCTAGGGCAGAGAATGGTTGTGCTTCTCTCCCTGGCTCTTAGTAGGGAGCGGGGGGATGGATCCCTATGATAGTCCATGAACGTCCTTCTATAGTAGTCCGACCTCTTTTCCGCGCTAAGAACCTGCCAGTTTTTGTTTGGAGCACGGTGTAGGGCTCCAGGGGTTCGGGGTCTTTCGATTGTAAGATTGAGGGTTGAGGGTTTTAGGCTTCAGGGTTTCATGGGCTCGTGGTGGGTTAGAGCTTCGAAGTCAACGTCAGAGTTTAAGCTTTAGAGATAAGTTTAGAGATTGCAGTTTCCGGCTCAGCGGGTTCAGGGTTTAGGGCCGGGGTTGAGCACGTGGGCCGTGACTCCAAAGAAGCCTGAGGGCCTAAATAATTGCCTATGCCAAAACTTGTTATAGTAATACTCTAAAGGAGCCCAAAAAACCTATTCTAATTATTAAGGCCTTTACAGTAGTCCCAATAAGAGGAGACTAAAGCTGGGTCCTGAATCCTACAAGCTTAAACCCTAAACCCAAAGTCCTGAATCCTAAAACCCTAAACCCTAAATCCTAAGTCCTGAATCCTAGAACCCTAAACCCTAAAACCCTCAACCCTCAAGCCCTAAACCCCTAAACCCTAAAGCCCTAAAGCCCTAAAGCCCCTAAAGCCCTAAAGCCCTAAAGCCCTAAACTCTAAACCCCTAAAGCCCTAAAACCCTAAACCCTAAACCCTAAACCCTAAACGTCTAACCCTCCCCTTAGCATCTTGGCGGGGCGGAGCTTCGCCTCCGAGGTTACGGCCTGGTCGGCCTGGGATTTAAGGTCCAGGTTTTTGGGGTTCTGCTTTCTTTTTTTTTTAAGGGGTGCAAGGTTTAGGGTTTACGGTTTAGGGGCTTAGGGGTTTTTGGTTTAGGGTTTTAGGGTTTAGGGTTCAGGGGTTTTGGGGGTTTAGGGGTTTAGGTTTTAGGGGTTTTGGGGGTTTTGGGGGTTTACGCTTTCATGAGACCGTTGAGAGAAGCCTCAGCTTCGAGCAGCCCTGGCAGGACACACGGAGAACTTCCAAGGCTGGGGCGAGGTGCGGCCCTACACAGCGATCCGGCTGCAGCAGTCTCATAGTCTAATATAGGGGCTTAGGGTTTAGGGTTTAGGGTTTAGGGTTTAGGGTTTAGGGTTTAGGGTTACCTATATTATTTTGGAGGTTTCTTATTATGATTATATAGTTTGAAGGACCCCAAAACCCTATTCTAATTATTAAGGCCCCTATATGAAGTTTCGGGTTTAGGGTTTAGGGTAAGGAATTGTCATGCCTGCAGTCATCATGAGGGTAGTTTTCTGAATTCGGGTCCCTTTTAGGGTCCTTGTGATGAGGGTGCCGTACTATTTTGGGGACTTGAAAAGGGACCACACTTTAGAGAACTATCCATGAATGTTTTTTCTAGAGGGATGGTTTTCCTTAGCAGTGCTATGCTCGTATCGATGATTATGGGAAGCGCTGCAAGCCAGCAGCACCAGCAGCGGTAGTGGTAGCAGTGCTACCGTTACTGTCTTCTTCTTCCTCCTCTGATGATTAGTAGTGTGATGGACTATTCTGGTCTGTCATGATCGTTTGCCTTTTGGGATTGTTTTCTATGGATTTCCGTATGAGGTCATTTGGGCTTCTGACTTTGCGGCGTGATTTTGCAGCTGCTTGTAGGCTCTAAACCCTTCAAGCAGCTCGTGGGTTACACCCCAAAAGCGGTTTAGGGCTAAGGGTTTAGGGGTTTAGGGGTTTAGGGGTTTAGGGGTCTTGGGGTTTTGGGGTTTATTGTTTAGTGGGATTGGCACCACCGCCTTTGCCCCAGATCCAAAGCTGTCACTCCTCTGAGATAGCAGTGGCCCCCGGGTTATGGTAGGATTCCAAAATCCGAACCTGAGCTCGGTTTGGGGCTTAGGGTTTAGGGGCCTGAAGAATTACCTATACCATTTTTGGGGGGGGTTCCTTCTTAAAATTCTAGTATAATGGGACCCAAAACCCTATTCTAATTGTTAATGCCACTACATTAGGGTTTTGGGTTTAGAGAAACCCACCCAAAATCACAAGCAATGGACCACGAGGAATACGTCTACTGCAGGACCAAGGAGGCACTCCTCAAGGACCAAAGGGGGTCAGGGTCAACGATGCTTAGCCCGATACTGAGGGTATTTATCGAAAGACAACATGAGTATACCATGTTGCTTGTTTCTGTTATAGTGGTTCTTTTTATTCTGTTGCTATCCGTAGCACGACGGTAGTGCTAGTCGTCCTCGTTCTTGTCTGAGGAGGCGGAAGAGCAGGACGAGCAGTAGTATAAGAGCAGCAGAGAGTCGTGGGCTTACCTGTTTTTGTCTTGTTTCGCCCTCTTCTCCTCTCCTCTCCTCTCCTCTCCTCTCCTCTCCTCTCATCTCCCCTCCCCTCCTCTCCCCTGCTCTCACCTGCTCTCACCTGCTCTCACCTGCTCTCCCCTCCCCTCCCTCTCTGTCTCTCTCTGTCTGTCTCTGTCTCTCCATCTCTCCATCTCTCTATCTCTCTGTCTCTCCATCTCTCTATCCTTCTATCTATCCATCTATCCATGGTCGCATCTTTGAAAATCGGCTTTTTTCTCAACTGTGGGCATATCTCCATCTAACCGTATGTGTGTGTGTGTATATGTACGTCTATGGACAACCACGAGAGCCAACCTAGTATAGGGGCCTTAACAATTACCTATACTGTTTTGGGGTTCCTTATTGTAACTACAGTAAAATACACCCCAAAACCCCTGTTCCAATCATCTAGATTCAGAGCTCAGTGTTCAGGGCAGGGTGTACATCTAGCACCCCAAGCCCTAAACCCCCTGGAACCTTAAACCCTAAACCCTTGAACCCTTAAGCCCTAAGTCCTAAACCCTTACACCCTAAACCCTAAACCCCTACACCTTAAAACCCAGAACCTTCAGTGTGGGCATTCTGCGCAGGAGGAGGAGGAGAAGTCAGGCGTCCGGGCCCGCTGCCCATGGTTCGCCGTGATCGCTCTTTTCCTGGGCTGCGTGAGCATGGTGTGAGGGTGCACACGTTTAGAGGTTTAGGGGGTTTGGGGGTTTAGGGGTTTCGGGGTTTGGGGGTTTAGGGGTAGAGGCCAACACATAAGCCCCAGACCCTAAACCCCATGCCCCAAACCCTAGCTTAGCAGGCTAGTTTCCTGCTGATACCTCCTGCAGGTGTTGTCCGACCATGAGCAAGAACTCTGCAGACGCAAAAAGTGCGTCTTCGATTTGCTTGCTTTTGCTTTAAGGTTTCGGGTTCAGGGTGTAGGTTTTAGAGTGATCTCCTCAGTCTTATTGCAGAAATCACGAATCTGCTCATGCAAACCTCGTCCCTTGCATCTTACATTGGTATGTGGAATAAATAAATAAATAAATAAATAAATAAATATATATATATAAGGAATCGTGGTGCAGCATCCTTGATGTAGTGCCGGCCCGTCCACCCTCGAAATTCCAGCTTTATTGGATTTCGGGGTTGAGGGGTTTGGTTGTGTTCTTGTCAAGGAGTGATTGCACAACACCTTCCCTTAAACCCTAAACCCAAAACCGTTCAGCTTCGTGTTATCTAGTTATGTAGTACTTACCCCAACGCGCAAGGCCAAGCTCCCGAGACCACCCCAAACCTTAAACCTCGAGCCCCTCAGCCCTAAGCCTTAAACCCTAAACCCTGAGCCCTAAACCCCGAACCTGCGACCCTAAACCCTGACCGAAAATCTCGGCAGGTGTTAAGCACGGAAAAGGTCGGCAGTTTGGATGTCGCCACTGTCCAGCTCTTCGAGGAGTATTGGCGCAGGGTTTGGAGTTTTAGGATTAGGGCTTTAGGGGTTTAGGGCCGCTTATAGCGTTTATTGTTTAGGGCCTAGGGACGAACAGCATTTGCCGGCGTTTTTTTGGTTCGGCTTGGGGTTGCGGGTTTAGGGTTTAGGGCTTAGGGTTCAGGGTTTAGGGTTCAGGGTTTAGGGTTTATGGTTCAGGGTTGAGGGTTGAGGTTTAGGGTTTAGGGTTCAGGCTTTAGGGTTTAGGGCTTTGGGTTAAGGGTTTAGGATATAGGGCTTCGGGCATGAAGTTGAAGAATCAATATCGATGGAAACTGCCAGTTTTCGAAGCACGCCCCCAAGCTGGCCGAGATTTGCGAGACGCTACTTCGCCTGCCTCCGCCCTGGCCTTGTGGTTCCAGAGGTTTGAAAGCTGGTCCTTGAACCCTGAAGCTTTCACTCCGCTCCCCAATCAGCCCGCCCAGCCCTCAACCCTCAACCGCTGCCACAACCCTCTACGCCACACCCTGCACCCTGAACCCTAAAGCCCGAACCCGTCAATCCTAAATCCCAATTTCTCTGAAGCCAACAAGTGCAGGGTTTAGGATTTAAGCCCGGAAGCACCCCGAAACCGCTGATACAGAGAGAGCTGTGCAAGCCCTACAGCGCCTCACTCTTAATCCCTGAGTCTGTAGCTACGGTTGTTGATATAAATCCTGCATTACCCATAGTAGGGTATATACCATAATTCCCATAGTTTAGGGTCCTTAAGCTATTGCAGGGTTTATATCATTAACAGTATCTTGAGTATCTTGAAAGCCAATTCAGATTGTCAACTGGGTGACCCCTCCGCTAGAAAATCGTCGCAACCCCTAGAGAAGCCAGCAGAACCCATGAAACAGCCAACCACAACCCCAAAGCCTAACAAACCCTACGGCCTATAGCCCCAAACTTGAAACACCAAGCACCCCAAACCCCGAAACAACAAAAAAACAAAACCCCGTTGTCGAACTTCTGGCGCAAATGTTCGACCCAAAGCAGATGTGTGCTGAAGAGCCGCTTGGAGGACAAAGATATCCAGTTTCATGAGCTCCCTTTTGGTATAAGAGGCCTAGTATTTCGAGCTGCGTCTTCTACGGTTCTGCAACAAGCGCAAGGGTTTCATATGGTATCATCGGGCATGATATGAAGGCTGTAACCCCGCCAGTAACCGTTAGTAGTGCTTCGGCGCTTCGGGGTATATTATACTATAAATTATAGTATAAGAGCATCTTACCACTAATTATTCACATATAAAGTTTTGAAAACTGAAGTTTTTGGATTTGGTGGTTGAGGGTTAGGGCTTAGCGTGGTTTGGGGGTCGAGAATCTCTTGTCAAGGTCGGGGGCGAGGATTTGAATGGTTTGGGGGCTGCAAACCCTAAACCCTAAACTCTCAACCCTAATGGCCCTAATCTGCCTGAATCCGTTGTAGTTATATTTGGTTCCTCGTGAGCATGCATTCATACAGATCCCCAAGCTCAAAGCTGTAATGCCCTGAACCGGAACCCTGCGCCCCAGATCCTAAACTCCTGAGCCACGGTTTAGGGTTGATTTAGGGTTTGGGAGTTTGGGTTTCGGGTTTCGGGTCTAGGGTCAAATCCTAAAATCCTCACCCTTTTGTCGCCTGAATGTCTGAGGCCAGCCTCGATTATGCCTCCTCGATTGCAAGCATGCCGCCACCGAGGTCCCCCTCGCTTGCTGCTCATTGCTTGGAGGATCATGGGACTTAGTAAGTATGGTTATAAGCACCTTAATTGGGGTTAGAAGCAGTTATAAGTATAGTTACCCTAACAATAACCTTACTTACTAAGTCCCATGATCCTTTAAGTGGGGGCCTTTAAACCCCGAATGCCGCCTGTGATTTTGGGATTTACGGAAGAGGCTTGAACAAAACAAGCCTAGGGCCTTAATCTGGAGCCCGACCGCTGGAATCCTTCCTCAAGCCTACTATGCCCAGAGAGCCCCATACCCCTTAATTAAGGAATATACCTTAAACCATAATACTAAGGCCCCTATAATTTAAGGTATATTCCTTATTTAAGGGGTATTGGGCTCTCTGGGTGCCTGCGCCTGAAATCCCAACCGCCCCAATACAGCCTTCAAGCATCCTTCCGATTGAAAGACGATTATGCGTCCTTTCTGACCTCTTTACATAGAGGCTTTGTATGCATCCCCTGCAGAGTCTTCACCCTACACCCTAAGCCCTAAACCCTAAACCCTAAACGCCTAAACCCCTAAACCCCTAAACCCCTAAACCCTAAACCCTAAACCCTAAACCCCGAAACCCCTAAACCTTCAAGAACCAAGAAGCCCGAAGCTGAACCCGACACTGTCAACGCCTCAGTCGTCGGAGCTTTCGGAGGCGAATCGTTCTGGTCGGCTTCCTCTGGCAGGCCCGGAGCCACAAACCCTAAGCCCTAAACCCTAAACCCTAAACCCGAAACCCCCTAAACCCTAAACCTAACTTCCCTATTTAGAGTTTCGGCTCTAAAATTCAAGGGTTGAGTACTCCGGGGCCTATAAGAAAGCTGGAGATGTTTAGTAGGATCTAACAAATAGACCTTCACGGGTCTTGGGTTTGGGGTTCAGGGTGTAGAGTTTAGGGTCTAGGGTTTTGGGTCGAGGTGTGGTGACGGGCGTCCGAAAACACAAGGTACTGTCTTCCGACTGTGTCGCTGGGACTTCCTGTCTGCGCTGAGCGGAATATCTTCCAACCTACGCCGTCCATTCCAACAGAAAGACCTCGAACTCTAAGACGTCTGAAGACCTTAAACCCTAAATCCTAAACCCTAAACCCGAAACCCTAAACCTTAAACCCGAAACCCTAAACCCTAAACCCTTACCCTAAACCCAACAGGGGGAGGTGTTCCAAGCGATCGGACTTTGGGGTCTTTCAAAGCCTTAAACCCCGATCAACTCCGGAATCCTCGAGCCGTTGGCTTTGGAAAGGGATCTGACCGACAATCCTAAGAGCCGATGGTGTGTTGTGGGGTGGACCGACCCTATGGTCCACCAAATAGAGAGATCCAGCCCAACACCCCTGACCAGCACGGTGAACACAGCTCTGCAGTTGGCAGCTTGCCGAAAGTGGCGGACGTACATGAAGGACGTCAAGACGGACTTCCTCCAGTTCTACCCGACAGACAGGAAGGTGCCACTTGCTTGCGAACAGCCGGCAGACGAGTCGTTACCAGGATTGCATCCTGAACAACTTCTGCTCCTCCTGACAGAGGTGTATGGTTTAGTCTCCGGACCAGCATGGTGGCCACGTACGTTTGTGCCAAAACACAAACCCTAAAGCCATGGACCCGAAACCCTGCGGTTGATGATATAGATCCTACATTACCCACGGTAATGCTGGATAGTAATGCTGGATTTGTATCGGGATTGTCGTAAAGTCCATCATACTGCACTTAAAAAACTTTATTATATAGAAGATCCTAACCATAAAACTAGGTACTGCAAAAACGGGGTAGGGTATGCTTTAGGTAGGGCTTTTTAAAAAACCCACCTAAAGGGTCATACCCTACCCCTTTTTTAAGTTACCTAGTTTTATGGTTAGGATCTGTTATATAGTAAAGTAGGTACCCTAAAAAGGGGGGTAGGGTATGACTCTATAGGTGTTATATAATCCCCTAAACCCTACACCCTAAACCCTAAACCCTAAACGCTAGTATTTGGGATCCCCGGATTCGGGTGGAGATTCTTGATCCGTCTTAACTCCAGACCAGCACCCCGAACCTGGTTTCAGGGTTTCGGCATTAAGGGAAACCCCCAACTCTAAACCGCAAAAGAGGCTTAGGCTTAGCTTTGGAAACTGCTTTCGGAGTTTAGGGCTTAAGGGTTTAGGGTTTAGGGTTTAAGGTTTAGGGTTTAGGGTTTAGGGTTTAGGGTTTAGGGTCTAGGGTTTAGGGTTTAGGGTTTAAGGTTCCCTAAGCCACAAAAGGAGGTTCAGACTTAGCTTTTGGAACTGGTTTCGGAGTTTACGCATAGTAGAAGCCATAAAGTTGATCCTCATGCCCCTATAGTAAAGTATAAGGGGTTTGTGGGATTCCCTATAGGGTTCCAGAGAAACTCTAAATCCTAGACCCTAAACCCAAAAAAGAGACTAGCTACTGTAGGCCTCTGAGGCAGGCTTGCGATCTCAGGAGACCTGGCCATGTTTAGGGGTAACATGGAAGCCAAAATAATTACCAATGTGATTCCTTAGCGTTCCTTATCA